AAAAAGTGTTGCAGCTTTGAAAATCTCAGGGAAAGGCTCTCCCATCGGAACTCCAAACTCTTAAAAAGCTCAGAAATGGCAACCATTAAAGAAAAATATTCAAAAAAATCTCTAAAATAGAATGCTTAAAACAAATAATAGAAGTAATATCATATTTTATTTGACATTTGTGTTACAGGATGGACAAGACACACCAAGCCAAGCCCAAAGAAAATCAAATATAAATGTCATATACCCAAAATGCAGAAACTAAATGGGATTTTCAACCACAGCCCCACAAAAATTTAATGAATGCTATGGAAAATGAATGCAAAAAAGGGCCAAGAAATTAACTTAATTAAAGGAAAATACAATGCACTCATCGTAGATCGTACCCCATTCATGGAACCATATAAAGTAAATTATGATGGGGCGGGACTCGGGTTGTTTTCTGTTTGTTTTTTTGGCACTCACTTTTTCGCTGCGCTCATAGTTCGCTGGGAACTTGGGTGAGGAGCCGCCACCATAAACCGAAGACGGCGATGGCGTTAGTGGCGTGGAAGCTGCCGTTGATGTTGATGTCGATGTGGATGTGGATCTTGAGGGGAACTGCAGCGACATGCGCTGGTGGTGCAACGTGGAGAGCGATGGCGTTGACATCGACAGCGATGTTGGGGTCATGATTAAATGCCGCATGATGGGGCACGGGCAGGGCCAACAACACTACTGTACGAGTATGGATGCCTCACTGGTTCACTAATTTTTTTCTCGCACTTTTTCACTAAATTTTCCACACTTTTCACTGGTTTTTTGTGTGTTTGTATTTTATGCTATTGTGTGTATTTTTCTTTTGTGATTTTACATTTCCACAATTACATTGTTATTTGTGTGTTTGTTTTGGTTAACGATTCGTCACATTCCGTTTTGTGCGCTGCTCTTTTTCAGTTTTTTTTTGCTTCTATATTTCATTCATTTTCTTTCTCTCGTTTTCAGCGTAAATGTCAATTGCTTTTGTGGGGCAAAACATTTTGCTTAAAACAACACAACACACAAATTTTAATAAGCTGCGGCCAATGATGTATAAACACGGGGGAGTGGGTTCTAGGGGGAAGTGGCATTCAACAGCTGCCGCTGTTGGTTTCGGCTTCTGTGGCGGATGTTGACAGAGCAGTCATCGCAAATAGGGTTACGTTCTGAATAACAGAATTAAAATGTACTTTTTGTGTACTTTTGTGTTATGAAATGTCTCTCATTGTTTGTGGGGTTTCTTCTCTCTTTCAATTAGGTGGTTCAATCCATCAAATATTATCCACATTGCAAAAGGGATTTGGTTAATCTGTAGCCATGTAGCTACGACTAGTCTGCTTGCAATTCTATTAATGAGTGAACATTGAACTTTAGTCTCTCCTGATGTATCATTCTTCAATTAGTACCTGGACTTCAATAATATTTATACAACCAGAGGTATACTGAGTTTCTAGTTACGCTTAACCAGATTCCATTTAACACGTAGGTCGCGTACGGACATAAGCGAGGTAAATACATAAATGTACCTACAAAATGTCTAAATAATTTAACATTTTTTGTATATCTGTATTTGCCAAATTTATTATCTGTTCATTTGTTTATCTGAAAATATATTTCCGTATTCCTTGCTACTTTTTGCTATGCATTTTTGTTCTGTACTGTAATATTGTCCCTACCATTTAGCATTTCATTTGCATTTCCACTTTGCCCCCTCTCTCTCTCTCTGTTTTCACTATTTCCCTCTCTTTATTCTTATCTCTCTCTCTCTCTCTCTCTCTGTCCACTTTAATTGCTTTTACTTTTTTTGTATCACCTTTGCTTCTCACAAAATTGGCGCTTCCCCTGTGGGCTTTTCTCTTATCACCTTTTCGTACTCTTTCAATTGTTATTCTTTTTCTTTTCTGTTTTTCTGCCTGTGCTAACATTAATGTTTGTTGTTTTTGCCATTGACTTTTTGTTGCTGTTCACGCGAGGTGAATCTTATCAGGTGGAAAGAGGAAAAAAAGTCTACAACTGCAAACATTTATAGTAATTTTTTATTTCAATTTACTTTTTCCTTTTTCATATTCACACGGAATTAATTTTCAATTGACATTTCCTTGAATTTCGTTTCATTTCTTGCTCTTTATCTTTGAAACTGTTTATTTTTGGGGGTTCAGGAGCAGAGCATATCAGAAGACCAGACCTCTGATAAGCACTTGCGGAATACTATCGCAGAAAGAACGAGTCGCAACTTAGATAAATAGAGTTTGCACGAGTAGATGCCACAGGAGCATGGAAAGGAAATGGAAATATTGAAGATTTTGTTTAAAATTGGAACGAATTAGTGTGATTTTAAGGGTATACAGATAATTTGAAGTAAGTTTAGTCTTAGTGTGACTGCAATTTGATTTTGTTTATCTGTGTTGATTTATTATTATTGTTGATTATTCCTTGGGTGTATTTCTATAAATTTCCATAGTCAAAGTGCCTTAAATTAACCCAATCTGAAGTTCTAACCATTGTATTTAATTAACGTAGTGTAATTCTAATTAACCTTTCACTCAATTTTCACTCTACTGTCACAAAATATCATTTAAATTAGGTCCAACAGAAATTCTACAAAAACTTTCAATTGCATTTCCCTTTCTACCACCCACTCACAGCCCCCCTTCTCCTCTGCCTCTCTGTTTATTTTAGAGGAGTGATCTAATCACTTGATTTGATTAACCGCAAGAATCACAAACGGTAAATGAACACCAGGCATCCCCCCGCCGTCTTTTTCTGTGTGATTTGTACTCTTCTACAGGCATTATATAACGTCATTTCGGGGGGGCATTAAAACTAATTATTTTTTGTTGTTGTTCAAGCGAAGCTGTGCTGAGGCTGCGCCGACGTTGACGCTGACGTCGCTGTCGACCGAATTACACGCACCAAAAAAAAAAACTCGCACCGAGAGGGGGATGGCAATACATCATTCCGAAGGTCGTTTGCGCAGTTTGTTTTTGGGCAAATTAGAAACAAAAACAGCAACAGAAGTCGCAAGACACAGCAACAACTAAACGATCAAAGCGGGTCGAACACCTCCTTCTCCTACCCAAGAAAATGCAACACAATTTCAATTTGTTAAACATCGAATATTGCCACTATTTCTATTACTTTTATTTCTGCTTGTTGCAGGTTGTTTTTATTATTCGGTTTTCTGATTAGTTTTTCATAATTTCAAATTGCAAAATGCAGCAGCAGCAACAATAAAATGCAACAACAAAATTGCATGCGCACTAATACAAATGTAAAACGCGGGGCGGAGACGCGACGCGACCGCGCAGCACCAAATTGAAACAAACTGTAACTATACGGCGCATGGGGACGACCGACGCCAAAGCGATTGGAGCCAGAGCCAGCGGCGCAGAGCAGAGTAAAGCTCACGAGAGAGCCACCCAGACAGAGAGAGAGAGAGGCAGACGGAGAGCCTACGCCTCTAGCAGACGAAGGCAGGATACCCTGTAGTAATCTCAGACGACGTACTCTTTCACTGACTATAGTACAGGAGACCTTTGGAATAACTTTCAGTAGATGGGTGGACAACTCATACATAAAACACTAAGAAATATCAAGAGTTCACAAATGTCTTCTCCTTGTTACACTATAAGAATATACCCTTCTCCTGTGCGCTTATAGGGTATAACAACAGCAGCAGCTGACAAACAATAACAGAAAAACCTTTTAGCCAGCGAGATCAAGAGAGAGACAGAGAGCTTGTTGTCTGCCGGATCTTCGCTCTCAATAACTCCCAACAGCTGATGGGCGGGCACTCTCTAGCTGTTGTTTTTGCTGCTGGCCAAAGAGGGTCAAAATGCCAGAGAGAGCTTTCGTTGAGCGTGAAAGTCTTTCGCTTGGCTTCTCTCGTTTTCTCTTGCTCACTGCACAATAATAAATGCATTTGTTTTCGATTTGCTTTATTATTTAATAGGAGAGCGTGGGTGGCTGGGTGGTTTGGGTGGCTTTGGTTGGGTGTCTATCTGACTGTGCTCCGTGCATTGAACTTGACATCAGCCACTGAATGCAATTGTTTTGTTTTTAATAATTGCGTGAAATTCGAGCTTAATTGTGGGTTACGTTACCCTGTGGAACCCAAGTGCTGAAGTGTGAGAATGGCTAATGACCTTCCATCCACTCCCAACGAGTGGGCTGTGTGACGGTGTGAAAACTGGATAACTGCCGGGGTGTAATGTGGGTCGGAAAATGATGTATTGCGTGTAAAAGTTGATATTTTTGGGTGTTGGAGTCTGAGATGCCCAAAACTGATCAGATTTGGGATCATAAGTGAATCATGCTTTTTGGTTGCCATTTTTCGAACACTTTTGGCTGGGTGCATAGACTGTTTGATCTATTTTAAGGTGTGGCAAACATTTACTGCAATAGGAAAGCCTTTTCTTAAAAAAGGTTTTCTTGGCCTTCCCGAACAATTTCAATGGAATACCGTAAGTCAAACGCCCCCTGAAAACCACTTTGCATTATAAATCAAGTATTTGTGGCTTCATTCAAACAAATTAATCAAAAAACTGACAAAAGCGGTACAAATAAATCGATAAAAATGAAAAATGAATGACATTTGTGGGCGATGTATTCAATGAATGCATAAAACTTTCATTTTTCCGTTACCAGAAACCGAAAAGAGACAAATAAATAAAACAAGAGGAAAACTGGATCACGAGCGCAGCATGGGGTCGCTCGTAGGGTGATGAAATGAGTGAAGAGGAGTTACACACTCTTATACGATCCACAGCGTTAGAGTTCAATGAAACTCGGCTTACATTTTGGTTGTTGTCAAGGCTGTGGTGTGGAACATATGAGCGTCCACAATGTATGAATGAGTTATACCCATTTAGTATACTCTGTGTAGAAGAGAGCTGTCCAGACAGATGCCACTTCTGCGTGTAATGTCTAACTTTGTATCCCTTGCTTATAAGATCCTTTTCCAAAGGACTAAATCAAATTTAAGATAAACTTACCCTATCCATCAATTGTTCATCGTTTCGCTTGCGACGCGCTGGCGCTCTTATAATTCGTCCCACATCTGGAGCGTCCATGTTGCTGGAGTGGAGTGGATGTTGTTGTTCGCCTGCTCTCACGCTCTCTCTCGCTGCCGACGGCTCAGTGGAGACTCGAACCAGCGCGGTTCACTTATACGTCGGTTGTGGGCTGTGCTAAGTGGAACTTTGAGCATTTAAAGCTTTGCTCACTTCGACCTTTTGAGCACGAATTGAAGCCGCTTCCGGTTAAAGGGGATTATATTCACAAATATCGGTGCATGCTCTACGGCTGGCGACATTTGTTTCCAAAATGTTGGCAGTTTTTTGCTTAATAATTATTTATATGGCAATTCTTTGATTTTTGATAGATATTTTGTTATGGAAGCAATTGTTGCAAGTTTGCTTAGTTTATTTTTTTAGCGGACAGAAATCTGAAATAAATAGAAAGGAAAAGCATTAATAAAGAAAACACTTTAAATTCAGTGAGAGCTAAAAGTAAGTATTCCTTACAAAAGTTTCCTAAGAAGTCTTAAAACTTATTTCCTTTTATGAAGAAATTGAAAAATTCATTGAAAGGCCCTTTGCCACCTTTTCTTTTTTTTTCCCCCTTGATTTCTTGCTCTTTCCCACGCTTTTCCACTTGTTAGTTCTTGGCCAATTTCCTCTACCTCAGTCGTCACCACCAACCATTGCTCCCTGTGGCTGCAACAAAGTTTTCTTCCCCCACTCATTTTTCTGCTTTTCCCATTCGCTGAATAAAATATGATTGAGGTTCAAGGCGACTGAAGGCTTTCAACGGTAACAATGTCTATTTGTTGTTGCTGCTGCTGAGCCTGAAGAGCTGCGCCTAACGGTTGTTTCAGTGTTGGTAAATTGATTTGAAGTGTGTCGAGTGCAGCTTATTAAATAGTCAAGAGGCAAGAGCAGCCATGGGGCAGGCCATGGCAACAAACTTGTGGCAGCCGTGTAAAGCCAATCAATTTTTAAGAGAGAAGAGGGTAGCAAGCATACGCTTAGGTTAGCAGTGTTCCGCAACGTAAGAAAGAGACATGAGGCTTCTAAAAGCACAGTATTAGACAGAATCTTAAACAAAACACACTCACAAACTACTTTTTAGTAGTTCAATAATCGTTAAATCTTTTCCAACACTGTAATTTCTTTATTTGTCTTAAAATGTCACAGCTGAAACGACAGTCACATCCTTTAAGCAATTAGCAAAACTTTTCTAATCAATTGAATCAATATTTGACGACTAAAAGATTTCTAAAGTTTTCTCAGCAGCAATGTTCATTGAGTGTCCAATCATTAAAATTGCAGGCAGGCAGAGGAAGCCCCAAAGGCCCAAATGGGATGCCCCATTGTTAGCCAGAGATGGCTCTGATTGCTGTCGGCCACGTTCTGATGACGTCTTACTAAACGCAATGAATCACTTTTTGCGACTGCAATTTGCACTTATTCATTCCCCCCTTGACCGGGAGAGACAATCGCTCGACCAGATTGATAAAGTGTGCTGAAATTTACAAATGATTTCATTCCGGGCTCAAGGCGAATGAGTTTTTATCTTTGTCGGGCAATAAATGTTAGTGGGTCGACTGAGCCACACCACCACCGCCACCTATCCACGTTAATTAAACAACAAGAAACAAGGAAATACTCGTAATTAATGCGCAAAAAGGTAGCAACAAAAAAAACAATGACTAAGTGATTACAGATACAAAGCGAACGTCGCAGAGCGACGCGACGAACGAAACCCTCAAAACCTCTGCTTGAATGAATCCAAAAAAGTGTGGCTCGGAAAAGCGTGGAAAAGCAGCGAGCAAAACTGCAGCAAGCAGCCAAACAAAAGAAGCGACGATGATAGTCCGCCCCTGTGGAAAATGCAAGCCATGAAGTTGAAACTTAACTTCTTCTCCCAGTTTTTGGGCTGTGATGCCGCGCCGATTGCTGCATTTTCCTTTTGCATATTTTCCACCGGTAATGGCAGCAGGGCAGGGACAGAGCATCATCAGGTGACTAAAAGTTGCGAAAAATCTTTAAAATTGCAGATGAAGTTTTGCCATTTTGGGTGGCACAATGCTCAAAGCGGGGTTAGAGGTGAACAAAAGTAGAGATTATTATGGGGTTTTGGTAACTTAAACTGATTAAGGTACGAAATAATAGCATTTTGCTTGCTTTATTAATGAAATATCTGCAAAATGTAGAAGGCAATGAGAATAAATACGAAAAGGGAGGAGAATAGAATTGAATTTGAATTAAATAATTCCAGGGTGAAATTTACTTTAAAAAATTGAATAAATAATATCTTAAACCCTGAATATGGAGTTTGCACGCAAATATTTTGCCATAATTGGATTCTTTACATATCTGCGTTTGGCAGGCAGAGCTTATCATTCAATCTATGTATGTACATATACTGAATTTATGTTTTATATAAAACGAGAAATATAAAAATATAAAAAACTACCTATCTTTAAGTCAACAAATTCATGAAAATTGTATCCACAATTTATGTTGATTGCACCAATCAAAGTTTCAAAGAAAAATATTCAACAAAACATCACAGCCGTCAACGAATTTATAATCCCAATCAGCACTAAATTGACAGTATTATCATTTTGTTAACTTGTTTAATTATCCCGTTTAGGGTTCGACGCTGAAAAAATAAACAGTCTATAAATAAATATTGCCCACATTGACACACGAGCGAGTGAGTAAGTTATCAACAGAACAGAAGTCGGACTCCGCGGACTGATTGCACGAATGGAAATTGCTATTTATGGGGCATTGTCTTTCCTTATTTATTTACCAGAATTTGATTTTCTTCGCAGTTTGCGAAAGGCCTTTTTCCAAAAATATATCTACAGCCATATGTATGTCTCCATAATTGAATGTTACATTGAAAAAAAAAGTAATTAAATTACAAATATTTCAACAAATTGGACATAGATTTAACGATGGAAGAATTATGGAAATATTGAATTATCTTATGGCTCAAAGGAATTATTACTTTGAAGTCATGTCTTTGGCGGTCAACCATCAGAGACAGAACTTGGCTGCCTTTTCTTCTTTTATTCTCGTCATAAATATTTTATTCCCATTAAAATATATTTTATCTTTAGTTTTCAGTTCAAAGTCAGCTCAAATCGAACCGTATTTCAGATGCGGACATTTTGGAGTGATTTATGCGGTAGATTTTTATCATACAATTGGATTTTATTTGGTCTTTTGTTATTGCCGTTTTGTCTATTGATTAGATTGCCAGAGACATGCATACGAGAGAACTCGTACTTGTACTAATGGGGATTTTTATCTCTTGACCATCACAACCCCTCTCTGTCGCTTCCACTTTTTTCTCTGTCACTTTTTGCGGTTATTATTGTCAGGGCAGGCGGGCTTTGAGAACAAGTTTTATTCCATCTCTTTGTGTTCTCGTGTCTGTGCCTCTCGTGTGAGTCAATTGACCCAAATTGTTGGCTCTGGCTCTTTTGTGCCTGGCCTGGCTCTCGGGCAACGGCAGCCTCTCTTCTTTGGGGCAGACGTGTCGATTCTGCTGTTCGCAGCACGGACACCCCAGATACCCTGTACTTTAAAAGGGCAAAAGGTTCGGCTGTAAAACCCTCTTGAACTTAGGATCTCTAGGGATCAAAAATCCTTAAAAGCATTGGCACTTGGCTACGAAATTTCTGCCTCTTTCCTCTACCTATCTCCTCTAAATGTTTCTTTTGTAATCATCAACACTTTTTACTTAATTAATTTCTCATACAACTTGCATTTTTAGCACAGAAAAATATCGTTCTCTGCCCAGAGGGTATTTTTGTTGTCGTTCCACTCACTTGAACACTCACATTTTCTGTTAGTTTCTTGGTATTTTCTTTTTAGTGGGTCGTCTTAATACGAAAGGCAGTTGAACTCTGTCAAAATGATCATCTGAAAGAGCTGTGGAGCCGTGCAGCTAATGGTCGCACGCGCTTTTTGCAAATCTCTCTCTTATCTTACTTGATCCGATCGGAGTGTGGTTTATTTTAATTTTGAAGACTAATGAATGCTTAGTTTAGACTTGAGAAATCTTTGTATATCTCCCTGGGGATATACCTCTGTCCCGAGCGGCTCGAAGTGTACTAAGATTTGTCCACACTTTTGTCAAGTTTTGCGTCTGGGTTGAGTTCTCTTGATATGATCTTGTGCCTCAAAATGGAACACTTCGTTTCCTTTTCGCATTTCAAATTATATATGTAAATTCCCCTAAATTTGGTCAGACTTTTACGATTCAAGAGTAAAGACCTTCCCCTCCATGCTCCACTGAATGCTCAGCCAGCGAAGATTCAATATAGATTCTAAGCATTTCTTGGGGGATTGAACCATTAAATACAGTTTATGGCTGCTGCAGAGGGGCAAACCCATCAAATTGCTAGGCCCCAGACCTCAAGGCCACTCTGTGGCAGCATCTCATTGGACGCAGCATTTGCATCATCGACCAAAATTGAGTGTGTAAACATTTTATGGATCATTTAGCAAATGACGAGAGGAAAAAGCAAAAGGAAAAGCCAAGCAAAAATCAAGCAACGTGAAAAATATTGCAAGCTTTAGTTAATTTTTACAATATATGTTACGTTTTGTCGGGGGCCTTTGACTCTTTATGCGAGAAATGAGTTCAATGAATTTCTGTGTCAACAGTTTGCAGTTTTATTTTTTTCGTAATTTATTTTTAGTGCTGACTCGATTTGGGGGGTGCAGGCAGACAACCAATGAACCCAAATATGCAACTTAATCAAGTGGAACGTCTTAATCACAGCTACAATTATTTTTCTTTCGAACACTATCTAAGAGGACAGCAGGACAGCCACCAAAAATAATTTGTAGCTCTTAACGCTTCAAAGCATTGGCTTAATGAATTTTCACAGCAAGCTGGCTATAAAAAATCAATGCTATGGGTAGGTGGGAGGTGCAATGGCACTCTTCTACAGGAATTTTGAGGTGGTAAATACTTTTTTGGGGTGTTTGTTAAGAGTAATGGACAAAAAGATAAGAGAAATACATCTTGGAATGTTGGTTTATATTTTATTGAACTTTTTGTTTAAAATTCTATTCATTTTCATTCATTAACCCTGCTGGACAGTGTGTTTCAATTAAAAATCTACTAACACACACAAAGTTGAATAACGCCCACCAAACAAATAATTTACCAACGGAGGGGGATAGCCATAAAAGCGGGGAGGGCTTCCTGCTGAGTGATTTGTAGTGGAGTTTAGATATACAGAGATAGAAATGGGCGGTTTAGGCGGGTGTGTGATGGCAAATGCAATCAAAAAGTGCCTCAGAAAGGGGCGTCACACGATATTTGAAACTTGGAAGAAAGAGTGGAAAATGATGCTGAAACGGAGACTGAAATTGCAGCTTAATCGACCCCAAAACTCAGCTGGAATCAAGCTTA